GACATCATACCAGGCAGCAGATCTCACACAAAAGGTTTACTGGGGGGTAAGGGCAGGGGAAGGCTATCTCAGAGTGGGGACATGATAGGGAGACAGAGACAGAGGGAGACAGCAAGAGTGAGCGAGAGAGAGAGAGGGCTGATGGTGGGGACCTTTTCAAGGGTACACCTTTAAAAGGGTGTGATCTCTTGCCAGAGCATCCATGTTCTGAATTAACACTCCTCCACAGTCCAGGCTCTGTGGGACCATCTGGCACTAAGGACATGCAGGCAGCAGCTGGAGCAGTTTGTGAGACTGGACAATCTGGGACTTGCTTCTTTGATGTAGATTTTGAGGGAACACATGGAAATGGCAGGTTGCTGGAACAGATATATATTAGGGGAAGAAGATAAAGTTAAGGGGGATTTCTTTTTCCTAGGTGTACATTTGAAACTTTTAGGCCCTGGTAGTTGGGGGAGAGGAGTCCCAAGACCAGAGAAAGACAGTGAGCTCTCACCCTCAGTAATAGGAAGTAGGTGGGGGAACAGGCTGTTGATTGACAGGAGTACTTACATAGAGTCCATTTGACCCATTGAGATGGATTCAAGTGGATTCCCTGAAGCTTATAAGAATGTTTTAAGTTTATAAAAAGATAAAAAGTTTTAGATATGTTAGCATCATGACTGTAATCTGTACTGAATCCACATTGCAGAAAAGGCCATAGACTCACTCACACCTTTGAGTCATAGCAGAAGTTTGGGGCATAAAATGATTCTGAGTTAAAAGCATGAACATTCTTTCCTCTATCCAGAAGACTGGATCTATATAGATTGGACAGATGTTATTAGCACAGTGAGAAGCACTATTAACTCTAATCTTAGAAGACAACCAAAGGGAATTTAAAATCTTGAGCTAGTGACTATGGTAATAGTAGTCAGTGCTTACCAGAGCTAGATTAATACCTTATCAGAATTCCGTTGTCAATGTTAAAACTCTGAACTTTTGAAGTCTTAATATAACAATAGCATAGAGAGGGAAAGCAGTCTTCAACATTTTTCACTTTTATATGACAATTTAAGACAATTTCTTATACCTTTACAAACTGCACTTACACACCTTAAAATACCTTCTTATATCCTTACAACTTAAACTTTCATATCCTCAGACCTTACATAAACTTTATACCTTTTTTTCCCATCCAACCATTTACCATGACATATACATAGGTTGATGGTTGCTGAGGGCAGTCATGTTTCTTTAAATAAAGGAATAGTAAAAAAAAAAAAATTACATTGAAATCTGTTTTGTGAGTATATCTCTCTTTAGAGTCTGGCAACAAGGTAACTATGTCTAGACCTAGTAGTAGCTCTAGGAAAGTGAGGCCTGTGACCTGATTTTTACGTATGAAAAGAACTGAGAAGGCATCTGAAGCCTTGGTTGCTGCTGTTAAACTAACAAAGCTATAAACTAGCCTAGTCATCAACACAAACATTGGTCTGAGAAGAATAAATTTTACCAGACTAAGAAGAAAGAACAGACTAAGCAGCTCTTGAATCTCTTAAACATGACAGACTTCCCAGCTACCTGGACAATCACCCTAGGTTCCTCCATGGTCGTTGGGGGAGACCTCTAGGTTTCAGGGCTGTGTCAGTCCTTGGCCATCAGGCTCAGAAGATCTGACACACCTCCCTGTGCAGTAGGAACTTGCTGGGACTGGCCTACCTTGCCCAGGCAAAGTGGGGCAATCAACTCCCCTGTGTCTTACTTGTCCATAGTTTAGACAGGGTCCTGAAGGCAGGCAAGGTGAAGGGCAGTTTTTCACCCAGTGGCCGGCTTTGCCGCGTCTAAAGCAAGCTCCGGGTGGAGGTTTTTCCGTGCCCAGCATCTTTTTTGGAGGAGAGTAGTGGTGCTGCCAGGAGCTGGGATATCTTTCTAAACATTTTAAATGCCATATTCAGCATATCCCTGAAAAATTTGAGGACCGTCTATCTACTAAGTATACATACACTAGACAAACTTTGCTTGTTTCTGGTTATTTGTTTTAGGCTTAAATTTTAAGAGATATACAGGAGGTAAATAAAATGTATTCCTGTAATCAATTACATTAGTACTCAGCGTGGCTACAAGTATTGTTTTGAACACATTAAAGAATTTATCATTTATAAAGTGACTATTAATTTGCATGTCCTAATCATGTTTACCAGTTTTCAATAACTTAGAAATTTTTATTAGGTTTTTGCATATAGATTAGGATTTTACAGCTTTATCTCATCAGGTTTAGTCTTTAAAAATCAAACATATCTTATTTATCAGATAAACCTTGTTTATCAAATACATGTTGTTTCTAGAAGCTTGGTACTGAACAATTTAGCAAGGACACTTAGCAGTTAGGTCTAAATCTCTAAGTCTGTAAGATTTTGCTAATCTAAATAGACTTTCATAATCTTCAGTTTTTATCACCATTTAGAGTATATTGTAAACCAGACTTGAATCGCATATATTGTAAGTTATAGCAAATATAACCTTAAATTTTTATCATCATACAAAAATCTATACTAATCCAAAATGTTTAAGACTTGTTACTTCCTTACTCTAAAAAGAAGATACAATGATAAACAGAGAGTGCATTAGGACTAAGAAGTTTTACAATTGTTGCTTTGGCTTTCTGGTCATCTTGATGGGGTGACATCACTTGGCATGTATTCTTTAACCTTATCAAAGATGGTTGCCAGCCATGTGGCTGCTTACATGCATCCTGATGAGGTCACCAATATGGAGGAGAGGTTGCCATTTAAAAAACATCTGTTTTTCATATCTATCTATCTATCTATCTATCTACCTATCTATCTATCTATCTATCTATGAGAGCTGAATGGTTACACACACACATACACACAAAGTTGAATCCAAGTCACACACATGCACACACACATCCCAAGCAAGAATTGAATCACACACACACACACACACACACACACACACACACATCCATGTATAGATGTTTAATTATAAGCCTTTTGTTATAAGTTTAGAGCCAAATTTTGTTACAAAATTTACACCATACCCAATAAATAACTTGCAAGACAAGAGATTGTAAGATAAGACTTTACTGCATAATCTTAAGGGATTTTTTTTTGAGAGCCTAGTGCAAAGAAATCATAGAGATAGAAGATTTTTTTAAGAGTGGGAAGTAGAACCTTAGAGGTAAAAGACTTTCGGAAGTGTGGAGCAGAGCAAGTTTGGAGATAAGATATTTAGGGATCATTTGTCTAGGCAGTAGTTGTTATGGTTTGTGAGAATTTGGAAATCAAGTTCCCCAATTTTTTTGGCCATTGAGGCCAAGCTGTTCTAATAAAATTTGAGTTCGTGGAGGAAAAGAGAATTGAAAAGGTGGGACATCTCGTGGGTGTGTTCCTATAAGCTAAAAGCAGAGCATGAAAGCCGAAGCTGCAGGATTGCAGGTAGTCCTAATGGGAGGCAAGGAAATTCTAAGAGTATAGGTCCAGGAAGACACAAAGAGATAGAGCAGGAAGCAAAGAAAAAAAAGCCCCAGGCTGCCACAGGCGTGACTGCAGCTCTTGAGAGTTGAGAGGTGTAGCAGGAGGGAAAAGAGCAGAAGAAAAGGGGGGTGGGCACATGGGGGTAGAGGCCAGAGGCAAGCGGGAGCTGGAGCCGGAGGGCACAGCAGGCCAGAGGGAAGCAGCAGCTGAAGAATTGAACTCTAGAATTTGGAATCAGGCCCACAAACAAATGATCCAGCACACCTTAGGAGAGTTAGTTCAATTTGGTTTGGAGCAGGGGAGAACAGGTACGTGCTGGGCATGCGCAACCGCAGCTGGCCTGCTCCTTTACTCTTCTCCTGCTAGGTCGGCCGGGGCTCCCACGGTGCAACACTTACAGATCCATCAACTGTAACTTGAAGACTGGACGTTTACAACGCGTGGGGGTGGGCTGGGAACAGACAAAAACAAGCAGGGATTGGAGCTGAGACAGAAAACGAGAATGCGGAATTCTTTTTTTCCTGCTCCCTGATTACTCGGCTCAGCCAAATTTGGGCGCTTACCTAAGGTCAGAAGATACACTAGCGGCCCTGAAGTCAGACACTGGGTGGAGTGGTGGGAGGTTTCCCAAGAGGTTCCCACTGGGGAGTCAGGAGGTGGATGACCCAGTTCCCATGGAGGTGTTGAGATTGTCCGTCAATATAGGCATAAGTAAAAAGCGGCCTATGAGAGGAACGGAGGGCCAGGTGAGGGACAACGGAGGGAAACCAAAGTATGTGTGACATGAAAGCAGGAAGAACTATTTCACCAGAGGAAGGGGACCTGAAAGAGGTGATGGGAAGCCAGGGTGGATACGAATGAAGTATAATCACCATATATATATATATATGTATGTGTGCATGGGACTCTCATAAAAACCCATTAGTTTGTATGCTAACTATTTTTTTAAACCAAATTTAAAGACTATCACTGGAGACGCGGGTGGGTGACTAAGAGGCAGCTTCCTGAAATCAATGGCAGCAAAGCAACTGTTTCCAGAGGAGTAGACACAGACCTCTTTATTTCTTGTGCTTCTTGGGTGTGCCCCTGGTGAGTCTTAAGGTCTAGAGCGAGAGGAAACATTCCAGGTCTGTTTCAGGATTTGCCGCTTCTCAGGATCCACCTGGAACAGGAGCCACCTCGGTCTTGGGGATGTGCCAAGGCTACAGTTCAGACGGAGCCCAACGTGGTGGCTCCTCGGACTGCAGAAACCCGGCCTTGCAGTGTGACTCCACACCGTCCCCAAGGCTGCTTGCACCGGTCTGCCGGCTTGCTGTACGGAAACCTGGTGCGCGTGAGGGAGGGGAGTGCCGGAGCCTGGGCTGCAGCCAGGCAGCAGAGCTGGGGACCTGGTGTGAGCTGCGCTGGGGACTGCGCTGCTGCGAGTGGGGAGCGGGGCTTCTGGAGCCCAGCGCGTCACGGGAGCGCAGAGACGCTGCACAGCCCTATAGGCGGAGGCGCTCTGGCCGCTGCGGGAGCAGAGGTATAAAAGTGCGGCGAGAGCCGGGCGAGCGCCACCGAAGGCTGGGGTGAGCGAGGCCGGCGGCTCTCGGCGGCAAGGTCCGGATCCCTCTGCGTTCCGGAGTTCTCTCTGCGATCCCGACCCCCTGGGGTCCGGACCCTTCTGAGGTCGGGGCTCCCTTTGTGCTCCGCGCCCCTCGCGCCCAGGTTTCTTCTGTGGGGCGGACTCCTCCAGTCGGGTGCGCTGAGCGCCCCGCGGCCAGCCTCTGCGCACGGAGCCCGGCAGTGAGTCCGGCCCTTGTGCCCAGAACCACAGCGGCTGGGGCATGACGGTCCCTCCTGTCCTGCTTCTTTTTCTTCTGTCCTCGGTGCAAGCCACTGAGCAGCCGAGGGCCATCACTGAGCATCCAAGCATGGAGGCAGCCTTGACCGGGCCCAACGCTTCGCACTTCTGGGCCAACTACACTTTCTCTGACTGGCAGAACTTCGTGGGCAGGAGACGTTATGGGGCCGAGTCCCAGAACCCCACGGTGAAAGCCCTGCTCATCGTGGCCTACTCCTTCATCATCATCTTCTCGCTCTTTGGCAATGTCCTGGTCTGTCATGTCATCTTCAAGAACCAACGAATGCACTCGGCCACCAGCCTCTTCATCGTCAACCTGGCAGTGGCAGACATCATGATCACGTTGCTCAACACGCCCTTCACTTTGGTAAGGAAAGGCCCTCCCGGGCTCCCTTTCTTTCCTGAAGCATCTTTCTATTCTCTCCCCTCCCGTCATCTGTCTCTTCAAGGTCCTCCCTACCTCCAGGCTCTCCACCCTACCTCACCTTCTCTCCTCTTTCGTCTCAGCCTTAGTTTTGTCTTCCTGACTGAAATCTTTGCGTCTCTCTTCTCTCCTGTCACCAATATTTCTTCCACGCTGTCTCCCATTCCTCTTTCTTTCCCCCTTCCTTTCCAAGCCAGAGTTTCTGCAGCTGGCAGCATTGATTCAACGAGTCAATTGTCTGCAGTTCCTTTCAAAGGATGGACCATTCACTGTTTAACCTCCTTGGCCATGGCATTTGGAACCAGCAAATGTTAGCAGAGGTTGTCAAGTCAGCCTATGAAAAGCCTGCCTCCTGTCCACAGGGTGCTGCTTGCTGTGTTATTTGAAGCAGCAACTGTTTGTTGTTAATGGAGTCTGAAATATCTTTCCCTGTGCTGACGGGTTAAGCTGTGCCCCCTCCGTGGCTTGCTAGGAAGGTCCAGTATGAAGCTTGTTCTGGGAGGGAGAGATGGTGAGATGGCCTGGAGCCTCAGGCTTGAGGCATTTGCAAGTGGCTCCCTCTCCAAGCCCCTGCTGCGTGGCATTGCTGGTGCTGCCTCTGTCCCTCAATGACCAGGGAGCTCATGGATGGTTTGGAACAGTGAGGGCTCAGCTGAGCAATCCTAGTGACAGAGAATTCATCTTTACAGTGGAGTCACACCTTTTTCTACGTGTGGAATAGCCTGTTGTTAGAGTTATTATTAGCCAAGCAGAATATCTGTCTATCTATCTATCTTTCTATCTATCCATCCATCTATCTTTCACATGCAAATGACAGATAACAAAAAGAAGATGGGTCCTTTCAGGTCCACTGGCCCATGTGAGGTCCTTCCAAATCTTTCATCTTCAAAGTGTTTTTATTCTCTCTCCCACTCTCCCTTATGAGAACATACTCACATTTTACAGGAAAGGAAAACAAGGCATAGAGGCCCTGTCCTTGTCCCATGCCACCTTCAGAGCCAGAAGAGCTTCATCCTTTCAATCAAGTTCACTGGTTCATTGATGTATCCACTAAGCCATCAGTGGGATCGGGCATACTCTTGACCTGTGTTTTGCTTCCACTGCTCCAACACATCAGCTTGCCCTGTTGTCCCTCAGCCTATACTAACCTACCAGTGGCTGCTCAGGGTCTTCTAGGTACTGGTCAAGAACATAAGAACTTCCCAATAATAGCCTCGTGCCTCCTGGATGCTTAGAAAAGTTGCATCTTGGCTCTCTGTAGATTCTCCCCTGGCTTTTCATCAGAGAATGGGCAAGCTGGCGTGAGGGTTGGCTGAACACTGCAAGGCTCCAAGGTCTGATCTTGTTGGTGTTGTTCAGAGCCAGGCTGCAGGGTCAGATATGCAGTAGACACAAGATGAGACAAAGAAGCAGTGACAACTGAGAGCTGAATGCCCCAGGGACCTCCTGTGAGAAGAGACTCTGCCCTTCCTACAGGATAAACTAGAACAGCCTGGCTATGAATCTGACCCATGGAACCTCCCCAGTCCAAACTCCTTTAGAACTTCCGGAGTGTTACCATGCGCACACAGGTGTCGAGAACCGGGAGCGAGGGTCTTCAAATCCCTTAGCCTCCTCATCACAGCTTGCCCACTGGAGTGACGCATCACCTTTGGCTTCTTGGTGACAGAAACCTCCTGGGCCCCTCTTCCCAGCCACTGTGTGCACTGCAGTCAGTGTGAAGACTGGCTCTGATCATTGAGCCAATAACAAACACTTGCTGATGGTTCCCATGACACAGACGTGCAGGCAGCATAGCAGAGCCTGAAGGAGGCAGACCTTTATTCTAACTCACCTGGGTTGACAGGAACGAGCAGTTCACAGAGCTCAGAGGGAACAGCCAGAACAAAAGAGAGGAGCCACTTGAGTTCACCTTGTGTTTCTGGCTGCGTGAGGGTGGAGGAGCAGAAATAAAAGACACATCAGAGTGAGGCAGGGAAGCTGAGGTGGATCAGAGAGAGCAGCTGGGCCAGGTGTGTCAGGACTGGGACCTCCTGAAATCTCTGGATGAGTCTCACTTGCCAGCGGGCAGTGTTCCACTTTAACAGCATGACGGCTGAGAGAAGAGGGAGCTTCTTGGAGGGGCTAGAGTGGGTGGTGGCCCATCAGAAGCTTAGGTTTTCTCTCTTGCTACTTGTGGATGGGAGGCAGAGGTCTTGCTTTGTAGCCACAATAAGCCCCTCCTCCCAGCCACAGGACCAAGCCCTAGCTCTTCTGTCTGCCTGTGGAGTTCTACCAGACTTGACCCAACTTTCCTGTACACATGCCAGGCAAACACCCAACTCCTCATTTCCCAACAGACTCTGATCCTGGATTGATGGCTTTTGTCCTAGTCTCCACCTACATGAGTCCTTGATCATCTTAAACAGCCCCTGTGTGGTCATAATGGCCGTTTAGAGCCTAAGTATGGCAGTTGTGCCTACTCTACACTTGTTTTCTATCTTGCATGATTTTTGTAGCCACATGTGAACAAGTGAGCCTGCTTCACACATGTGAACAAGTGAGCCTGGTTCACTAAGGCGACAGCAGGAAGTGCCAAAATCTCCACTGTATGTTCACATAGTGCTTGCCGAGAGAGAATTGCCGTATCTGTTTCTGCTGTCAATCTCTCCTTTTGCCCATTTCCCTCCCACCTGGTGACCTACTTGCCCAGTGTTTGACCCTCTGTTCGGCACTTAATGCATTTATCCCCTCCCCGGAAAAGACCTGCCTTGGTCAGAATTGACGCTCCACCTCTCCTGGGCACATGGCTTTCCTCTCAGGGGCTGCTGCAGGCCTGCATGAGCATGGAGCCCTGCCTGGTGCTGAAGGAGGACCCCACCTTCCCTAAGAGTCCCCTTTCTCCCCATTATAACCTTCACCTCTTCAGGTGTCTTCATCCCAGATGATCAGCTGCAAGCTTGGCATAGATGTGGGGCTGGGGTGTAGCTCAGTGTAGATGGTTTACATACCATGTGTGGGCTCTGAGTTGGAACACACACACACACACATGCCCCTTCTCGGCATAGTTGTCTCGATATATTGTGACTTTCTGGAGATGTTTCCCTATTAAGCCCGGTTCCATTCAACCAAGAAAGAATTTTATTACACTTAAACATGCCAGCTTCCCATTTCTAATGGTCACTTTTAACAATTTGCTGGGCAATTTCTATCGTCCTTACAGATTTTATAATAAGCCTTTCAGGTAGAGATTTTGAAACCAATTTCTGCAAATGGGAAAACTGAGGTTAAGGGAGTTTATTGGCCAAGGCTGCACAGCATAGAGGTGGAAGTGCTAACCCCAGGGCCCATGCTCTTCCCATGCTCTTCTGATACCTGATGGCCCAAGGCCACGATTGGGGTTTGGTGAACTGAATGAACAAGGATGGGTTAATCCGGGAAAAGCCATGTGGTCCAGGGCACAGCAGCTGGAAGATTTCTTGGCTGGGAGGGCTGAAAGGTCTCCTGAAGAAATGCTCTTCAGAGATCACTGAGAAACAGAGCTGGGTGCCAGTCGAGGCCTAGCCATTCCGCCCATTTTCTGACTCTGTATTTTACCTACAGGTCCGCTTCGTGAACAGCACGTGGGTGTTCGGGAAGGGCATGTGCCATGTCAGCCGCTTCGCTCAATACTGTTCCCTGCATGTCTCAGCGCTGACGCTGACAGCCATTGCTGTGGACCGGCACCAGGTGAGGACAGCTGCCCCCAGCACCATCCTCCCCCTCTGGCTAGGCCTGCCTGGAGTCTGTAGGGAATACTTTCAGTATTTCAGTGACTCATTTAGCCTTGCCGTCAGGGTGTGCCCTTGTCCTTGTTGATCAATTTAGGCAAGGATATGAGGGATATTAAACCCTCTGGTTGTTTCCACTTTGTTACCGAGGGGAAAGACTCACTGCTGGAGCCCATCTCCCAGTTTAATGGATTATTTTGGTGGCAGGAAAGCAAACTCAGAAAATCACAGATGAAAAGGAAGAAACAAGTAACCGCAGGTTGGAGAAGGCTTTCAAGTGGGACATGAAGAGCCTCTGGCCCACGCTGTGTAGGAGGAAAACAAGCCAGGGTGTTCCCATAGCACGGTCAGGCAGGGTGTGTTAACACTGGAGTGAGTATATGGGGTGGTGCCCCGTGGGTGGTAGGTGCTCAAAGAGGACCCAGGGATATCCATTTTGGAAGGGGCCAGCACGGGGCCAGGTATACTGCACCTAACTCACGATCTGTGACCACTTTTGTTGATTGTTCAGTGGTTCTCAGCCTTTCTAATGTTGTGACCCTTTAATACAGTTCCATCTGTTGTGGTATCTCCAGCCATAAAAGTATTTTGTGTCTACTTTGTAACAATAATTTTGCTACCGAGAGGTGCCTCAGTCCCTAAAACCATCAGAATCTCATGTTTCCAATGGTTGCAACCCACAGGTTGAGAACTGCCGGATTAGACCATGTCAGATCTGGAAATAGGCTCAGAACTGCATACACACGTTCCCATGACCATGTGACTGTGAATGACCAGGGTAAAATTAGGACCAACATCTGTTCAGCTCCACAATATTGCTCTGATCACTAGACTGTGCTCTGTGACAATTTAAACAGACCCACAAAGCACAAATACTTAGGACAAAGAGAACCAAGGAGTCCCCTGAGATGACCCAAGAAGCATAGGAACCAACAGAGAAGTGGCTTCAAAGACCCACACTCAAAGGCAGCATTCAGTGTGTGGAATGCTTCTCTAGTAGAAATAAGTGTTCAAAGTGGACAGAGCTGCTTAGAACAAAGTGTCTCATGTCACCAGCCACATCTAAGCGCATACAGGTGTTGATAAGGGTGTTCTTGAAGGAACTTGCACGTCAGACAAGGGATGGACTGCCCAATTTTGAGATCTATTTCCAAAATGCTGCGCGCATCCTAGAATCAGGTCTTCAAACAGTGCAGATGTGTCAAGGCCAGCTGTAGAAAGCTTGCACGCAACTATTCCTTCCCCCTGGTTAGTCTCCACTAATTCAGCCAGAGATCTGGGGTACCTCTGCCCCAGGATCCAGTCTCACAAATGGAAATGCTTTTAAATTTCCATCTTTGTTTAAGCTTCTTAGATGAGTTGATTGGCTGAAACGCAATATCAATCCAAGGCACATTTTGGCCCTATGCCCATGACGCTGGCTTCCTTTTAAGTGGATGTAAGCCAGTTTGTGTTGGGATTTAGTAATGGCTTTAATAGGAGGCATCAAATAAGCTATTTGCAGTGGGTGACAAGCATTTGCTCCTGCTCTATGGTCAGAGCCCTCTGTACTGTCCAGGCTCTGGAACTATGGAAAAACAGGTCAGGTCTTGAGGAGGGGAGGGCTGAGCCTGGAAACCCACCTATCACCTTTGTACCCTCCTCCTGATGCCTGCACTGCTCTTCTCACTTGCAAGAGCCCGCAGGCCTGCCAGGGGCCACAGAGTCCACGAGACACCCTCTTCCCCTTCCTGGAGTTGAGCTGTGGTTAGTGACCTCCCTTTCACTCCTTAGCTGCCCGGGGCCAGGCAGGGCCCACCAAGGAATGTAAAGGGTGCTCAACCCTTGATAAATAAGCCCTGCCTGAGGTGACCTGTGAGCCTTGCCACCTGGATTCCTGTCTGCCTTCAGCTTCAGCCGGTGAGACCCTTCGCTTGCCTTCTAGGTCATCATGCATCCCCTGAAGCCTCGGATCTCCATCACCAAGGGTGTCATCTATATTGCTGTCATCTGGGTCATGGCTACCTTCTTCTCGCTGCCACATGCCATCTGCCAGAAGCTGTTTACCTTCAAGTACAGGTGAGACGTGATAGTTGGAGCAGCCTGAGGTGCAAGGGAGATTGCGCCATACTGGCCTTCTCCAAAACGGACCTGGCCCACAATCACCGGGACTAAACCGCAGCCCTCCTGGCTTACTGTTACCTGCCCCTGCTTCACTGAGTTGTTCTTGCCCCTCCTGTTGCTTCTTGGCCCATGCCTAGTCTCTGTATTGCTCTTCCCTGTGCTCTTCTCAACTGGAGAGTTCAATGGCAACTCTAAGCCGTTTGCAAGAAGGCGGTAGTTATCAGGTCCTGCCACCAGGAGGCGTGTGCTCACATAGATGGAGATGGGTCTCTTGCTCTGCCTTTTAAGAAACAAGCAAGATTTCAAGTCTCACAGAACTTAGGAAAAAAAAAAAAAAGCACAAGTATGAGGCAGGATTCTCTGTCTCCCCCAATTCCCAATTTGGTCCTTAACATATGCTCCTACAAAATAAGGGAATCCTTTTTTTCAAATACTCAGTTAAAAAAAAAAAATACAATCTGCTTCATAATAGCCTGTCTCCATGGCAGTCCGTCCAGAAGGGAGAGCTGGCTCATTTTGAATTTTAGATCGATGAGCTGAGCACCTAATTCCCCACCTCCAAATTACAAACCTGAAGTATATATAGTATATATTCACAGACCCTGAACACAGAAGGGGGCCTGGAGTGGCTTCAACATTTTACAGCTTTCCCCCTGTGAACCGGCTGCCTCCCTCCCTCTGTTTCTTTCTAGAATGTGTAAAAAAAAAAAAAAAAAAAAGTTAGTAAGCCACGGACACAGCTAGAGGCTTGTTTACTTCATCACCTACTCTCCTGGCCTTCCATCCATTTTAATGGTTCTTCTTTAGGGTGAGAACTGAATACAAAGGGGACTCTAAGATTTTCTCAAGAGAGAGCTGGTTTTCTGAGTAGGAACACTTCTCTTTCATTCTTTCATTGGTTCCTTTATTCATCATTTTTTCATTCAGTGACTATCTGTGGGGCCCACTAGGTGCAAGGGATAATGCCAAGTTCAGAGGACACAGAGTCTGGAGTCTTCCTAACCTCTCCAGAATGCTGTACCTTGCGGGGAGACTGAAGCGTGATGCGATGACTAGGTCACAGTGTCAAAAAGACTGTGACAGATGTACCCACGTCTGGGGTAGGGAGGCCAGCATTCCTCCTTAGGAAGTGGTAGTACTGACTTCCCCACTCGTAGTCCGTCATGTCCCCATCTTCTTTTTTTCCCTCCCCCTTGGCTCAGTGAGGACATTGTGCGCTCCCTCTGTCTGCCGGACTTCCCGGAGCCAGCTGACCTCTTCTGGAAGTACCTGGACCTGGCCACCTTCATCCTGCTGTACCTGCTTCCACTCTTCATCATCTCGGTGGCCTATGCCCGCGTGGCCAAGAAGCTGTGGCTGTGCAACACCATCGGCGACGTGACCACAGAGCAGTACCTTGCCCTGCGACGCAAGAAGAAGACCACCGTGAAGATGCTGGTGATTGTGGTGGTCCTCTTCGCCCTCTGCTGGTTCCCCCTCAACTGCTATGTCCTCCTCCTGTCCAGCAAGGCCATCCACACCAACAATGCCCTCTATTTTGCCTTCCATTGGTTTGCCATGAGCAGTACTTGTTATAACCCCTTCATCTACTGCTGGCTCAATGAGAACTTTAGGGTGGAGCTAAAGGCATTGTTGAGCATGTGCCAAAGGCTACCCAAGCCTCAGGAAGACAGGTTGCCCTCCCCAGTTCCTTCCTTCAGAGTGGCATGGACAGAAAAGAGCCATGGTCGGAGGGCTCCGCTAGCCAATCACCACCTACCCTCTTCCCAGATCCACTCTGGGAAGACAGATCTGTCCTCTGTGGAGCCCATTGTGGCCATGAGTTAGGGAAAACAGGAAGAGGCTAGGGAGGGCTCTATCCTCTCACAACTGACATGAGCTCACAGTGTTGGAAAGTTTCACAGAAGCATCGAGATGCTTGGGTTCCTAGGAACCTGTCCGGCTTCCTCTCCCATCTGATGTGCAAACCTTCTAGCAGATGTCATGAGGTGTTGTGCCTAGATCTTTGAGTAAGAGCTCTGAAAGCCACCTCAGCTCCAACAGAGGATGGCTCAGCCAACCACTTTCAAGTGTCCAACCTCTGCCACCTTGCCCTTCGTACCACTGAGCACCCACATGGGGACTGAAGCATACTATTGGTAGGCTTGACTCATGTGCCCAGAAAACAACTTTACTAGCCAAGGAGAACAGGCACAAAGGCTTTCTGAAATCATTGGAGCAGTTATAATCACACATCTTCAATGGCCTTGGCTCTATCCATGACCAGACAGGACCCATCTTGGCTTCTTAAAATAAAGAGAAATTAGCATTACCATTTTGAAAAGTTCAGAAAAGTACAGACATGAATTCAGCTGACCCTGTTAGCCCATCAGTTTGTATATATATAAAAAAAGATGCCTGTTAATGTGCTGTGAATTTATCTGTAACTCTCCATGTATGCATATTTGTACTTTTAAAATCCTGAACTACGTGTGTCTATTTAGACTGTAGTAATTAGCAAGAAACAGGAGTACATCAAAATACTATTGAACTCCTCCGTGATGAATGGAGTTCCTCAGCAGACCTGAAGAGAAGGGAGGAGAGCAAGGTGAAGGCTGATTCTATCTTGTAGCCAGCCAGTGGTGGGCTGGGCCTGGCCCTCTCAGAGTTGTTGCTATCAAGATGAGCAGCACACAAGAGAGCTGGGAGGTGGGATCCCTTCCCCCCCAGCCCCCAGAAACAAGAGGTGGTGAATCACTGCGCTGTTTCCATGGGCAATGAGAGAACTTGTTTTCCAACAAGCTGGAAAAAATTGTGCTTAGACACTTCATCTGCTCAAGCTGTCTAGACAGGACATTTCTCTATGTTGTCGGAATGATGAAATTTTTTTCACACCATTTCCTTCAAGATTTCCCTGTGTACATCACCTGAGAAATTCGTGTGTCATTTTTCAAAACCTGCAGGCTTCTTAAAGCAACTTTATTCCTTGAGGGCCCTTTTGTCAGAGAAGTCTCATTCCAGATAGCCAGTGTTCTTTTTTTTTTTTTCCTCACCTTTCCTATGGTCCCACTGACTCTCACTGTCACCCATAGAGAGCTGTGTCAGGCAGAGCTGACTCTAATCCCAGGAGCAGAGCAGTGGCTGCGGCTGTGCCAAGTTCAGATTCCTATCTCCTCACAGAGGGGTCACAGAGACAAAGTATCTTTGGGTACCTGAGAGGGAAACTGAGGTTTGAGGGAGGAGAGTTTCATCTGGGACTTGTTTAGAACTCTCAGTTGCTAACTGAAGCACAACTTGGTGAAGTCTGCTTCCCTGTAATAAACCAGGGGAGTTTCTTAAACTAGTCTATCCATGAGAGTGTTAGAAAATTTCCAAGATTAAAAAAAGTCATCTACAGAACAGCAGATTTTTAAAAAGTGGCTTGGAGAGGGCAGAAGGGAATTCCTAAACATGAATTGACTGTTTACAGCCACAGCTTCCGCACCTGTCTGTCTGCATAAGACATCTCTGTGATGTCAACTGGTAGCTGTGTTCCCTGTGTGCTTCTGAGCAAATGTGACTGGTAATGGTGAGCATGGTCTTTGTGAAGCCTGAGCTTTTCCAATGTGCTGTAAAGTGTGCTTTGTTGTAAACCCCTCTAGGCTCAATAAAACCTCTCCTCTGTGTGCAGGCTGTACTTCCTGGACTGGTAACCATGTCACAGATGGTACCCTTTAAACAGGGATCGGCATGGATTACATGAAGAGTACGTAGAGCTTCTCTGCATAAAGCCCAGAATTTTATCTTAGGACATCTGGGCCCAGAAAAGGTGGGAAGGGAGTTGGTTGGCCTCTGAGTCCTTGTTAGGAACTACCATCTTTGGTGGTGATACATCTGTGATGTATACTTGAACCCTGAGCTACATTTGTCATTGGTGATTGGGGGCGGGGGAGTGATGACAAAGCTGCCGTTAGAGCCAGGAGACCTCTTGATGGCAGTACACAGCAGACACAGCCCCCTGCGTGCGCTGTGACTGATGCCATACCAGGCCTGGAGTCCTACTATAGAGAAATACCCTGATGCCATCTCATGCAGCTGTTTTGAAGACAGATGTAAATAAGGTGATCCAATGACCTAGAAGAAAAAATTAAAAAAAAAGAAAAAAGAAAACGAGAAATGAAAGATGGGAACTCAGATCTGTGGATGCTTCGTCATGTAGTAGATGCCAGAGGCTTCAAGCTCATGTTCTCACCCTCCCTCAATGCTCTGAGGTGGGCAACAATGTTTCTGTGTCTCAGAGGAGGAAATTGAAGCTCAGAAAACATAGATAACTTTCTGATGATCACAATCTAAACTGAAAAATATTACCTAGGAGGTCAGAGTCTCTGAAAGCATAGAAAATACTTCTGTGCTTTAATTTTAATCCCATATTCTCCAAATGTTCTTGATGGCGAGGTTTTATTTTAGGGGCAAAATATGTTAGCAACCCTAAAAACTAGGGCTTGATTTACATATTTTGGGAAATGCTTGAGTAAGTCTTAGGGTTTTCATGGATCAGGGGTCAATGAGTCAGGGGTCAGGCCGAATGGCATGGCTACCTCCAGAGCACACGCCTGGCAAAAGCATCCCCATGTTGCTGGTACCTGTGAGACCCTGACAAGTTTCCAATGTCAGTAACCATCCTGGACCTCAAAGTTCTCAGGTTGCTTAGAAGGATGCAAAGATACCATTGCCACTTTGAGCTTGTTAAGACATGCTACTAGGACCTCCATGATGGAGATAGCCTGTTGAGTAATCATCGTCAGTTTGATTGGGTGTATTTATGAGGGTCTTTCCAGAGAGCATTTACTGTGGAGGGAAGACACACTCTAGAGGTGGTCAGCGTAATCCCTTGGGTGGAGGAACTAGACTGATTAAACAGAGGAAAGGAGAAAGGTAATGGTCAGCATTCCCCCTCCTCTGCTTCCGGATCTGCTGAGGTGTGGGCCAGCAGCTCTCACCACAGTGGAGCAATGTGCTGCCTTCCTAAGGGCTATCTCCTAAAACCATGAACCAAAATAAAGCCTAAGTTACTTGTGTCAAGTATCCGGCAATAGCAATAAACAAAGTAACTACGGCAGAGCCCACTCTGGTTGCCTGGCCCTGAGGGTTATGAGAAAGCTATTCACAGGGAAAGCAGGCCTGTCTCAGAGCAAAGCCTGAAGCTGAGAGACCAATTGTTAGCATCTTGTTTTAGCATCTCCATGCACCCTCCAGGGCCAGTTCTCTCTCGTTTCAAGTAGTAGTTAGGGAAGAGGGGAAAAGATGGTGCAAAGCTGGATGCAGTTTTAAAAGCACACGAAACAGCCAGATTTAATGTGAGCAAAGCCTGGGTTAAGTTCGTTCCTGAGTTGCCATAAACAGTCTCACAGACTGTGTAGTATTTGCAGCTTCTCAGGGGCAAGATGGTGGATTTCAAAGGATTGGTCTCAGCACAGGATATGGACCATTGGTCTAGATATGGGTTATGCTCCAGGTTTTAGCTTTTGGTTTAGGTAGTAGGTTTAAGGGTGTCTAATATGTATTAAAAGTAATTAATCAAATCATTAACCACATAGCAAAGAAAAGGTCACTCCTGGACTCCTGTTTAGAGTGTGCCATATGTCAAGGACTGCAATTAAGGTAGTCCGGGCCCTGTGGCCTGTCCACCATCAAACCCACCAACATAAGGCCCAAACAGCAAACCAATGAAGACAGAGAGCCAGAGGCCCAGGTCTTCGCTTTTCTACCCCTTTCTTTCCAATCAGGTTACACCTATATCTGGATCGTTACAATATACAAACCAATCACTTTCTTTCTCACAAGGTCCAGGGATCATATCAGAAGAGGAGCTTGAAAGATTTTAAGAGCTGGAGATGGTACATTGGAACAGGGCTTTCCCAGGCACAGGAGGGCTGTGATGAACGCATCACAGTGGGTCTAAGAGCACATCACAGTGGTTCTAACAGCGTAAGACCTGTGCCGAATCAATCCTGACAGGATCCCAGGATGAGTGGGGAGGAAGTCAGGAAGTCCCGCCCCTAGCTAAGGAGCTGGTAAGGGAGAGTGAGAGCTGGTTTTCTTTAAGAGTGTGACCCTGGTTGGCCGACCAGGTTCCCTCCAGTGGATGGCCCCACACCCATGAGTAAATGGGAAGCACACATTGGACTTAAAGGGTTAAAAAAAAAAGTTAAAGGGAGGTGCAGGGCAGTTTGTGATTCTCAAAAGAGTTAGTAAGACTATTTAAATATGCAAATAGAGCTCATCACTGTCATGACAACAAGGACAGGACGATTACTTTTTTTCTTCTTAAGACAAAGCCTCCTCGTCTGGAGTTGAATCTTGCCTGTTCTTGGCTTAGCGTGTGTCACTGTCATTAGTTTTCCACACTGCCCCAACCCCTGAGAGCTAGACTGAGTATTCTCCTGGCCTCGTGATGTGCCATCAGGCCTCCCATGGCGTCTTCTAGTCCCTGTGGTGACAGGCTTGTTCTCCACGCCCACAGCATCTGTTCTCAAGGGCTTCCTCTGTTACCTTCTCCAGGGTGAGTGCAACTTCCTTCCTAGTGTTCTCTGTCTTGGTCTGTTCCTTTATTTTGGAAGATTGCATCTTCCCCAGGCAAAGGTGCTTAAGAGCGCTTATTTTTCAAGACCTTATTTGTCTGAAAATGTGCTTAAGTTTCTATTTAATCAGTAGTGTGTCTGAATTAAGGTAATGGGTTCAAATAATTTTCTCTTGCAATTTGGAAGGAATTTGAATTAGTTTTAAATTACTGCTATAACAAATTAGCACGGTCTTAGTGGCTTAAAACAAAATTGCTCCTCTTCTGGTTCTGCAGGGCTGCAGAGTTGCACGGTCGGACACACGTGGGTGGGTGGGTTCTCGCGGCTGGTCTTCATAGCTTTGAGAGGCCACATGTGTGCCGTGGCTTATGCCTTCTTCCTCCAGATTGAGCCAGGAGCTCCCTCCATGGCCACATTTCCTGTGGGCTCTTTCTGAGGTCCCCCTCACCACTTTTCAGGTATTCTATACACTTGGGTAACCCAGGATCCTCAACTCTTAAATCCATTTGCAAATATAACTCACCTCATCCTGAACACACTCACAGGGCTTGCACATTGAAGGGTGGGCATTTTGGTGGATGGCCACTGTTCTGTCTACCAGCATAGGGCTCCATTATCTCCTGCTGCAGAACCTACTGCTTTCCTCTCTCTCTATGCCACTCAAGAATGGATGTTGGATCCAGCTTCCGTGTTTCTTAAAGGATGTGTTTGGCACTGGCTTACTGTTTTTAAGAAAAGAGGGACTTCAGGGCCTTCTACCTGGCACAGACTACTGTGCCAGGTAGAAGGAATCTGCCAGCTGCTTAGCATTCCAACTATGCTTGGCAGCTCAGAAGCCGATCACAGAACAGACTCATAGGACACAGTGAGTTGACAGCAGCCCAGCTGGCCTGATCCCATAACCTCAGAAGTCCAGTCAGTTGAAGGGAATGCTGCTTGGTCTTTGTACCATGAGTACCAGCGTCTCTTCAACCGGCAGTGCTATCCTGACCCTCAGTGCCCTCAAAATCCAAGAAAGGAGATAACCCCAGATCAATTTTCTTGAAAGTTTATAGCCTGCTTCCACCGAGGGGAAAAATCTGTTGTTCGTCAGTGGTTTTGTTGTGTTTTTATTTTGTAGCTTGGGTATACTTTCTCCCAAAGACTGACTTGCGGTGAAGGCTAGCTCATGAGGGCTCAGCTCTTATGAGGGATTAAACCTTCAATGTATTCACAGGTGAGTGGACAAGAGGAAGACTGAAGACACTGCAGAAGAGGAGGGGTCAAGTTGGACAAGGGCTGTCACTAGGGGCACAGTCATGAAGAGTGTGGGCTGCCTCCAGGCCTTTTCACTTGCTCTTAGCTTCCCAGCAGCTCTCTCTGCCACCGGCTCCTGGTTCTGCTTCATTCACTACAGGTCCCAAAGCAACAGAATCAAGTAGCCATGGGGAAAGTAAAACACTGAAAACATGAGTCAAAATATTTTCTCCTTATTTTTCATGGATATTTTATCACAGCAAGGGAAAAGCTGTAACACAATGCTCTTCAACATTGAAACCTAAAAGCAATTTGTCAGAGGTCTCAGAGAGATTATGGGATTTTCAGGATTGCTGGGGAATGAGGTTTGGATGTTTTACATAGAGAGACATCTTGAAGAGACATGCTCAATTACTGTGTTGGTGTCCTAGGAGCAAGCCTTGCTGGCCATCACTCAGCACTCGGAGAGTGAGTCCCTGTCACAGCTGCCATGGGTGAGGCTGGGTTCTCCAACCCAGGGTCCATGGCAAGAGCTCTTTAACCTGAACACAGCTTTGCCTTCATAAAACTCACTTTGCCTTCTGAATTCCTTGACTGTTTCCCATTTCAGAACATGCGCTATGCCTGTAACTGCCTGCAAAGGAGTCTAGAACACAGGGTTTTTGTTTGTTTGTTTGCTTGGTTGCTTGGTTTTGTTCCCACCTCTATAAAGTAGTAGACTGGGTATCAGATAAATCAGTCTGTTACATTTGACATGACAGAGATTAGTAGAAAGTAATTTTTTTGGAAACTTAAAACTTACCTGCCATAGTGAAACGTGCCTGGAATCCCAGCATTCAGGAAGGTAAGGTACAAAAGTTGTGAATTCAA